GCCCCACGGACAGGCTCTCCCGTTGCCCTGCTGGTGAGCACCACGTGGTGTGGACGAGAGCGCAGCCCGGCTTATGCTGCACGCCGTTTTTTGTCTCTGGGTGTCTCGTCTCCCCAACAGATTGGCACGTTCTGCAAAGGGCTGTGTCTTGCCTTCTCAATGATAATACTAAAAGTATCTGCTATTTCTTTGTTCATTCATTCCACAAACATATATTGTGCTGGTCACTGGAAACAGGAAAGTGAACAGAAATAGACGTGGCCTATGGACTCTGAAAAACAAACTGAGGGTTCTAGAGGGGAGGGGGGTGGGAGGATGGGTTAGCCTGGTGGTGGGTATTGAGGAGCGCACATTCTGCATGGAGCACTGGGTGTTGTGCACAAACAATGAATCATGGAACACTTCATCTAAAACTAATGATGTAATGTATGGGGATTAACATAAGAATAAAATTAAATTAAATTAAATTAAAAAAAAAAAGAAATAGACGTGGCCTCTGACAGCCTAGTAGACGCAGTGATAGTCACCACACAAATGAGGGTAAAAATCTTGGCCCTGACAGTGGAGGAAAAGAGGCAAGAGCCTGTTATGGAAGCTCCAATGGGGTAAGAAATCAGGGAAGACTTCCTTGAAGAAGTGGTGCTTTTTGCTGAGGTCTGAAGGTTGCATAGGTTAATGATAAGAGTGTGGCCAAGTGTATCCCAGGCAGAGGGAACAGCATATGCAAAGGTCCTGTGGCAGAAGAAGCAAGTGAGGACCAGGGACTGAAGGCAAGCCCACATGGCTAGGTCTCAGAGCGTGGACATCAAGGGGAGAGGGGTGTGAGCTGAGGCAGACGAGGAGGGTCCAGCCCGAGCAGGCATGACACGCCATGTAAAAGCAGGTGATCTTCATCCAGAGAACAACAAGAAGTCTCTGGAGGCTTGTAAGCCGGCAGGGACAGCAGAAATGACATTAGATTTGCATCTTGAAAAGATCACTGCTGCTGTGCCGGGAACCCACTGGAGGCTGGCCAAAGTGGGGGTGAGGGGATGTGCTGGGCGGCTGCGGTGCAAGCCTGGCCCTGGAGAGGACCTCCGTGTGGAGCGGGGGGCGTGGGGGGGGGGGAGGTGACAGTACCAAGTGAGATGTAGCTTCCTCGGCGATGGATTGTGTGGTGGGAATGAGGCAGGGTGAGAACCAAGGATGGTTCCGGCTTTGGGCCTGTGTGACTGAGGGGTGCTGGCACCCTTCGATGAGACAGGTGTGCAGGAAAGAACTGTGGTTGTTGCTGCTCTTTACCACACAGTACGCTAAGCACTTTCATGAATCATCTCCCTCGCTCCTCCCAACAGCGGGAGTCTGCCTGTTACCACCGTTTGACGGGCAAAGAAGGAGGCTCAGACAAACAAGCCCAAGGTTGCATCCATATGGCAGATTGCGCTTTCCTGCCCCCAAAGCCTGTGTCCTGTGCCCTGAACCACCCCCTCTGAGCTGGAATACATATTTGCAAAAGGAGGGCATGGAGGGAAAAGAAGAGAGAGCCCCTGCAGGCTGCAGGCCTGGAGCTTTGTTGCTTGTGCTCGGAGGCCGACCCAGGAGCTAGATGTGTATGGTTTAATGCCCACACAGTTGCAGGCTGCAGGAAGCAAGAGACAGCCAAGGCCAGGAAGCTGGTGCTCGCTCCCCTGGGGCAATTCCGTTCAGTGGAGGCCCATCTCAGGCAGGGAAGCAAGGGACCACGCCAGGCCCCGAGACCGTCCCTGACATAATGGTGCAGTGTTTCCTTTGCACCGAGTCGATATCATGGCCGGCTTGCCCTCTCTGTCCCTGGCTTTTTAAAATGCCACCTGCCTAATTTTCTTTTTTTTTTTTTTTTTAAGATTATTTATTTATTTATTTATTTGAGAGAGAGAGCACATGAGAGGAGGGAGGTTCAGAGAGAGAAGCAGACTCCCTGCCGAGCAGGGAGCCCAACGTGGGACTCGATCCCGGGACTCCAGGATCATGACCTGAGCCGAAGGCAGTCGCTTAACCAACTGAACCACCCAGGCACCCACCTAATTTTCTTTATTGGCACCTCGGAACAAAGACCAAGCCCATAAGGAGAAAAGGCTCATTATTCTCTTACTGATCCGAGATTTAATAGAGCAGCAATTGTGTATTATTTGAACTGGAGCGTGTTATCTTTTTGCTGGCCCGGATTCCCCACCCAGAGACGCTGCAGGCCCATGAAGACGACAGAGAGGTGGCGAGAACTGGGGGCTCCGCGGTGTTGGCTGGTAGCCTGAAAACAGGCTTGTGCGTGGGCTGGGGCAGGCGCATCCTGTCGGGCTACCCCGACCCTCCACAGCACTCCACAGGACAAGAAGGAGCAGGGACATTTGGGACATGCAACCCATCCCTCTTCCTGCCCTTCCAGACTGGGAATTGACCAACAGCCTTTGACCCAGCCTCTGGAGGGTGACTGGTCCAAGCTGCTGCTGTCCCCAGGCTGGGCGGGTCTGCGTCCCATGGTCTGTGGGGAGAAGACAACACAGCTGTTCTGCACTCTCTCCTAGTTTCTTGCATTGTCCCCAGCAGCACAGATGTTCATCCAACCAGATATTTATTGAGGGCATGTGCATGCCCATCCTCCCAGCCTCACTTCCAAGTGTTAGCTTCTAGAACCCGCGTCATGCAGCTGATGAGCAGTGTGGCTGCTCCCCCATCCCCAGCAAAGCCTTGTCCCAGGGTCATCCCACCTTGCCTTCTCTGCCTAATCAAGAGGCATCAGCCACGCCTGGGGACATGAACCCTGGAGAGCTATGGGCACCAGCTGGGCTCCTGGGCTGGGGAGGGAGTTACCCAGCTCTCCTGAGGTCTGGAAGAAGGAAGCCTCCTAAATCCTGACTGTCCCCAGCTAGCTGGGGGGTCTCAGACAGTCTTGAACACTTCTGAGCCTCAGTTTCCTCATCCTTATAGTGGAGATCATGACACCCCCCTCATTCATACTTTGTCTCCAGGGTCCCAGTGTTTGGCACCTGCCATTGTCCAGTAAATGGTGGTAACTGGCCCTCTATCCTCTCGTTATTCCTCACACCTTCATCTTACTGGGAGGGGGCAGAGTAAGCTTGGAGGGCGAGCCATCATCCTACCCACTGAGCAGTAGGACAATCTCGCCTCACTGGGAGGGCCACCCTTACTTCCACACGTGTACCATTTATATGAGATGGTGGGAATTAGCAAGGAAAACAGCCAGCTGGCTTCAGCACTTCCTTCCTCTCTCTTTACCCCCAGCAAGAAAGGCCTGTGTTGTGTTTTTCTGAGGCCCACCTCGTGGGCTTATGGGGGCCCCCTGTCCTCGGGATAGAATGGTTGTTGGGAGGGGTAGGGAGAGTCCCTAGACCAGCTCAGGGATGGCAGCTAGGGGCTTCTGGGAGACAGGCCGCGGGCCCCTGGTGACACTAAGCCCCAGCCTGTCACACATCCCAAACCCAGGCCTGGTACAGAAGTGGCCAGGCCTCCTTCCGCGGGGAGGGACCATGGGAGCCCAGAGGGAGAACAGCAGAGTAGTGAGCACCCCAGACAGCACTCGCTGACCCATTCCCAGATGGCCTGCACCCCCAGACACCCCATGCTTAGGGCCTTCACGAGAGCTGGCCAGGGGCCCCAGTTGTGACTGGGATGGACTTCCTTCTAGCCCAGACAGACGAGAGCTTGAAGCAGGTTGCATTTCATTTGGAGAAATAAAAGGGACATTTCTCATACCTGCGTGTTGAATGGTAGCAAGTGTCTACCCCCCCTCCCCCCGCCCCATATGTATCCGAGCTTTCCTTCTGCGGAGAGCTGGCCCCAGCCTCCTGCAGTGCTGGGCTCAGCCGCCTGATCGGGTGGTGACGACATGCTCTGGGAAGCCAAGTCGGTGACATTTCCCTCTCAGAGGAGAGTGTGCTCCTTGCTCAGTTGGCAGCCTGCAGAAAAGGCCAGGCTACAGATCTCGCCTTCCCCAGGCGGCGGGAGGCAGGAGAGAGCCCCCAGCCTGGCAGGGACCGGGCAGCTTCCGCGTGGTAGGCAGATTGATCAGCTGGTGGGACAGCTGTCTGAGGAGGACACGCAGCCGCGGAATCATACTCTGCCTGGGTTACCTGGAAACAGGTCTCAGCCCCACCAAGTCCCCCTCTGCCTCCCTGCGAATTTCATCTGCCTTGCCCACCCCTGCTGGTTGCTGTGTGTTTCAGAGAAGCGAGATGTGGTTGCAGAAGTCAGGAACTTCAGCAACACTGTAGAAGGAAAAACACTGCAGAAACTAGGTTTGGGATACTTAGGCATCTGGAAAAAATTATAGAATGGCCCTAAAGTCAGACCTGAGTCCATTACTTACCTGCTGCGTGAACTTGGGCAAATTTTCCAACTACTCTGAGCCCCGGGTTGCTCACCTGTGAAATGGGCCTCATACTTACATAATAGGGTTCCTGGAATCATTCCGTGGGCAACGTGGCATAAAGCTGCCACTGGTGTTTCTCACTAGATCATCTCCTCCCCTCGTCAGGCACGCGTGTGAGGTCTTTGTGCGGTTGTATACAGATGTGTGTGCTCTTTGTTGAAAAAGATCATTTTCTGCCCACATTACCAGGTATCGGCACAATCGGCTAAGTCAAGGCCACATCATATTCTGTTCTGTCTGCCTGGATCTTCCTCTGGTATCGGGCATTTGGGTTGTTTCCAGTTCTTTGCTATGGAAAATGATGCAGCTGTGAATATCAGCTTCTTTTTTTTTTTTATGTGATCCTAACAGAACGCAGTGGGAGTGCGGTGGGGAATTGCTTTCGTGGCGATCCACGAATGGGCATATCCATTGTGCCCCAAAGCCAACTACAGAGTTTAGATGATCTGTGCCCTTTGAGTTATGTACCCTGCTGGTCTGAGACTAACACCATCCCCTTGGAAGATGCCAGAGGGTTCCTTGGTTAGTTTCTCAGCCCCTCAGATGAGGAGGAAGTGGCTGAAGTGCTTACATTCCCATGTCCTCTCTCTTGCAGAAAGTCTGCACCAAATGTGGGATCGAGGCCTCCCCTGGCCAGAAGCGGCCTCTGTGGCTGTGTAAGATCTGCAGTGAGCAGAGAGAGGTAGGATGCCCAGGGCAACGGGTGGGGGCGGGCTGGGGCGGGTGTGAGTGGACTTGGGATTGGGGAAATTCATGGTTGGTCTCTGGGAGGGCCTTCTCTAGAGGCCAAGCAGGACTCACCAAGGATGGCCAGGGAGAAGGGCGGGGAGGGCTGGCCTGCCTGCTTGCCTGTTCCACCGTGCAGAGCGGGCAGTGGGCCCTGGTTGTGCTATGCCTGGGGGCTGTGGTTTCAGTGGGGAGTCCCTCACACTGAGTGTAGGTGCGTATAGTATTTTGTGCGTAATGGCTATCCTAGGCTGAGTGTTTACTATGCTCCCGGCACTGCGCTGTTCTTTACATACCTAAACTCGTTTCATCCTGACACAACCCCATAGGCGGGAGCTATGATTATCCCCTTTTACTGGTGGAGAAATGGAGACACGAGAGGTGAAGTACCTTCCGGGCACAAGGCTACTTGGTGGGAGAGCTAGAAATCAAACACAGCCGTGGTCTCTTGTGATGATACCACCCCAAAGTCCCTTCTGGTACGAAGTTTCCATACTTCCAGTTCTGACCCCATTTTAGGAGAAGAAATCAAGGCTCACTGAGTTCTCTGAGGCAGTCACAGATAGGGGACTCGAACTGTGTCTCCTAACCCCAAACCCAGGGCTCCCTTCACTGTACCAGGATCGGGGCTGAAACAGAGGATGTTGGCAGGCAGCTTCTCTCTGTGGCGGGTCACAGGATGGGGATTGTGCTAACAGAACAGCTGGGCACAAAGGGAGCATACCCCTGGTTTTCCAGATGTGGATTTATTTTTTTACTTATCTTGCTTGGCAACTGATACGGGCTTTTAATCTGAGGATCCATAAAAGGTCTTTAGTTATGGGATATTTTCAGCCATGCTGTCTTTGAATATGGCTCTGCAGCTAATGCCATGTCTGCTCTCCTGGAAATCCTGTTGGATACATTGTTGAGCCTCAGTCCCTCCTCCAGGAACTCCCAACAGCTCTTTCTTTTTTCTTCCTTTATCCTTCTGGGATACTTTCTGGGTAGAGTCTTTAGTTCACTAAACCTTTGAGACTATCTCCCAACTGTTGGTTTTGTCCTTTGTCTTTCTTAACGTCAGCTTTCCTCAAGTGTCTTGGAATTTGGGTTTGTATGCTCATCTTGAGTGGGAGTCAGTCCGTCTCCCTGCCCACCACCTCCATCCAGATCTCCTTGCCAAGGGGTCTTGCATTTCCTCCACCCAGGTCCTTTCCTCTCCCCCGCCACTGCTCCGCACCCCGCCAGTGCAAAGCCATGGGTCTTGTTAGTGATGGGTTGTGTGTCCACAGTGACAGCGGGATTATGCCCAGAGCTGATCATCACAGACTTGGGCAGGGAGGCCATCTCTCCTTTTTTCAGCCTCCTTCCCCAGGTGGGAAATCCCTTCACCAGCTCCCATTTTCAGTGGCTCTGGCTCAGGTGCCCCACCTCCCAGGCGGCACTTTTAGTCCCCATACCCTGGAAGGCTAAGCTCCCAGCAGCCTCCACCTGCTTCTGGACCAGGAGCTCAGCAGGCTGTGCCTTTAGCCACTCGAAGTAATAACTGTTTGTATCTTATTTTTAAACACAGTTAAATTTTCTTGTTTTTGTATTATTTTCATCTGTCACTGCTGTGTTTTTGGAACAGGGAAGGTCCTCAGAGTATGAACTAACATTCTGTCGTGCCTGGAGGTCCCTGATTTCTCACCCTGACATAGAGCTGAAAGCACGGATTTCCCAGCGGTGCTGTGAGAATTCAGCAAGGTCATTAAAGCGTACAAAGTGCACATAAATATCTGGCTTAGAATAAGAACTTCGTAGCATCAGAGGCCTCCCTCTCACCCGGCCAGAAATCCTCACTTTGAACCTGAGGTCCTTCTGGTCTTCGGGGGTCCCTTTTTTTTTTTTTTTTAAAGATTTTATTTATTTATTTGAGAGAGAGAATGAGGAAGAGAGCACATGAGAGGGGAGAGGGTCAGAGGGAGAAGCAGACTCCCCGCCGAGCAGGGAGCCCGATGCGGGACTCGATCCAGGGACTCCAGGATCATGACCTGAGCCGAAGGCAGCCGCTCAACCAACTGAGCCACCCAGGCGCCCTCGGGGGTCCCTTTTAAGATGCAGGTCTCCACCGTCCCAAGAGAGGACATTCCTTCAGAGAGAACCTTGTGGCAGACACTTGGCGGGATGAAATGACGGTCACCCCCAAGCTGTGGGAGGACAGAGAGGAAGGAGCTGTCAGGGAAAAGGAGGTGGAAGACGAATTTAGCAAACGTAATGATTTAGTGGAGCGCTCCGGAGGCAGCTGCCCCGGGCCAGCCCCCCTCAGGTCGCCCTCACCGCCCCCCTCCCGCCAACCGTCCTGAGCTGCCGCGTGCAGGGCCCACCACTGGCCCGTCCTAATCCCCAGAGCCCAGAAAAGTCCAGAATAGCTTAGGATGAATTTTCTTATCTCTCCTAAGGCAAAGAATATGAGGCCGTGCGGTATGCTATCAGTTTGTCCTTGAATTTCTAGAGGCTGATACAACGCAGCCAGATCAGGAGTGCTGCAAGTTCCCTCTCTGCGGCCCGGCACCGCGCACAGTTAGGAGGTGGGGATGGGCCGCGACGGTGCGCGGCTAGGAGGCGGCGCGCCTGTGGGGGCCCTAGCCGGGGGCTGCATTTTCCCGCCTGCTTTGGGGGTGGGAGAGTGACAGGGTAATTGGTGTCCTCATGCCTTTTCATCTTAGAAAAAATTATCTAATCGCAACAAAGAGCTCAATAGAAAGAGCATTGAAAATGTCATTTTATTTTTATTTATTTATTTATTTATTTATTTATTTATTTATTTATTTTTTAAAGATTTTATTTTATTTATTTGACAGAGAGAGAGAGACAGCTAGAGAGGGAACACAAGCAGGGGGAGTGGGAGAGGGAGAAGCAGGCTTCCCGCGGAGCAGGGAGCCCGATGCGGGGCTCGATCCCAGGACCCCGGGATCATGACCCGAGCTGAAGGCAGTCGCTTAACCAACTGAGCCACCCAGGCGCCCTTTTTTAAAGATTTTATTTATTTATTTTGACAGAGAGAGACACAGCGAGAGAGGGAACACAAGCAGGGGGAGTGGGAGAGGGAGAAGCAGGCTCCCGGCCGAGCAGGGAGCCCGATGCGGGGCTCGATCCCAGGACCCCGGGATCATGACCCGAGCCGAAGGCAGACGCTCAACGACTGAGCCACCCAGGCGCCCCTATTTTATTTTTTTTAAAGATTTATTTATTTATTTATGTGAGAGAGCGAGGATGAGAGAGAGATAGAGTACATGAGAGGGGGGAGGGTCAGAGGGAGAAGCAGACTCCCTGCCGAGCAGGGAGCCCGATGTGGGACTCGATCCCGGGACTCCAGGATCATGACCTGAGCCGAAGGCAGTCGCCTAACCAACTGAGCCACCCAGGCGCCCCTGAAAATGTCATTTTAAGTGCCACATAGAGCTGGTTCTGAGCCCGTGACAAAAATGTGGAGTTCTGTCCCGCGGACGGGAGAACCTGAATTTTCTGATGGAAACTCATACCTCTGGGCCCAGACGCTCGGACCCATCTCTCCTTTTGACACTTCCCTCCTGCCCTCTCTGGCTGTTATTGTCCGGATTTTTTTTTCTGGGCGCTGGTTAAAGGTCCCTGTGGCGGTCAGCTTCGTATTGCTGCTTGTTCTGTGCACTTCGGCGGTAGAGCAGTGTGAACTTCAGCCCCGATCGAATGCATTTATCCATTGGAGCATCCAGCACGTATTTATTGAGCATCCTCTATGCGCCAGGCAAAATAGCTCTTCTCGTGGGAGAGAGAGACCACAGACATTGTAAATCCTGCCATGTCACAGATGGCGACAAAGTGCTCAGGGTAAAGAGGAGGGTGCTGGGAACGTCGGGGGTAGCTGCTGTATTTTATATGGCGGTCAGGGAAGGGCTCACGGATGAGATGACATTTGAGCACACTGTGGCTCTGTGATTAGAAAGTATTCCAAGTGGAGGGTGCAGTGAGTGCAAAGGCCCTGGAGCAGGTGGGTCCTTGGTAGGTTTGAGGATCAGCAAGGAGGCCCGTGTGACTGGAAGAGGTCAGAGATGTGGCAGGGGTCAGAGCATGTTGGTCCTTGTAGACCATTCTTAGGACTTTGGCTTTTGCTCTGAGTGGAAGGGGGAGCCCTTGGAGGGGTCTTGAATAGAGGAGAGACATGACCTGAATGCCCTCCCTCTTTTTAAAAGGTACTCTGGCTATTGTTTTGAAAATAAATTGTGTACTATAATGTCAGAGTCAGTATGATGGTGTTTCATCTCTCTTAGTTAATATTACCCCAGATATTTAAGTTCTTGGCTGTTGTCACTCTTAGAAGTTTTCATTTTTTATTTTTATTTTTTTAGATTTTTTAAAATTTATTCATTTGAGAGAGAGAGTGCGAGCAAGAGCACAAGCAGGGGGCGGAGCAGAGGGAGAAGGAGAAGCAGACTTCCCGCTGAGCAGGGAGCTCGACACGGGGCTCGATCCCAGCACCCCGGGATCATAACCTGAGCCAAAGTCAAACGCTGAACCGACTGAGCCACCAGGCACCCCTGTTGTTTTTATTTTTAAGTAATCTCTATGCCCAACGTGGGGCTCAAACTCACAACCCCAAGATCAAGAGTCACATGCTCCCCCAACTGAGCCAGCCAGGCGCCCTGAAGTTTTCTTTTTTTTTAACATTACATACATTGTACTCTTTTCTGATTATGAAATTAATATGGATTATTGACATTTACAGTGTATCAAAAAGCATAAGAAATACACACCCCGGGGCGCCTGGGTGGCTCAGTCATTAAGCGTCTGCCTTCAGCTCAGGTCATGATCCGGGTCCTGGGATCGAGCCCCGCATCGGGCTCCCTGCTCGGCGGCGGCCTGCTTCTCCCTCTCCCACTCCCCCTGCTTGTGTTCCCTCTTTTGCTGTGTCTCTCTCTGTCAAATAAATAAATAAAATCTTCAAAAAGAAAAAAAAAA